GATTGAGAGAACTCCGGAATTGTCATCGATGGGGTTGTCTCTGTTTGCCACCCACACCACTGTTCTTTGGGGAACTTGGTTGTACCAGATGCCGATATATCTGTACTTTGAACTGCCAGGGGTGAAGAATCCAAGAGCGAAAACTTTCCCATCGGAGACAATCAAACTACCATCATCTTTAACAGAGTGGTTTGGTGTTATGGTATCAATGGAAACAGTGAAGCCAAAAAGCAAACAGAGAAGCAGTACCTTAATCAACCATTTTCCAGAATCCATGACTTGCGGAAGGCTAGGTGGCAATTTGGAGATTAAAGTATTTGTTTAATGCAGTTGGAAACCATTAATAAAGAGGTGCATGCTGAGTCAGAAGGACAACTCAGTCCAGTAGTTGCCATGATGAAGACATTTTTCTGCGTTTCTGTTTGGTTAAACGTCCAATTTGGTCCCTGAATTATTGTTAGACCCCAAATATAGTCCTTAAAGTAAAAAAAATCTTTAATTTGGTCCTTAAACTATTGCACAAACCTCCAATTTGGTTTCGTACTATTTACCAATTTGCCTCAAATTGATCTTTCCATACAAAAAGAGCTGATATGTCCATTATTTAACGATAAAAAATAGTAATTTAACGGTTACGTGTTATGTTAATAATAAAAGACATCAATCAATTTTTGTGCGAAAGGACCAATCTGAAGTAATTTGGTAAATAATAATGATCAAATCGGATCTATATAATAATTTAAGAACTAAATTAAAAAATTTTTAGTTTAAAGACCAAATGAGGGTCCATATAGACCAAGTTAAATATTTAACCTTTCTGTTTTATGACTTTGCTTGCAAGCAGCATAAGATTTTCTGGCCATAACTTTCTTTCTATTTTTACCATAGTCGTGGGAGTTTTGTGACCAGATTTTAAAGAATGAGTTTCTGGAACTTGTGTAATAGTTGTTTTATTTTATAATTAATTTATATAAAAAATTATAAAATTTATTTTTATTTTAAAATCTTTGTTATGTTAAATAATTTTAATAAATCAATTAATTAAATTAAAATTCTTATAATTTTTTTATTATTTTGAATTGCACAGTTGAAGACAATCTTGTATATCATGTAATTTAAATCTAAAATTTTTTATTTATAATTAGTGAAAAAAATTACTATTAAATTATTTTATTGTTATATTTCCCATACAAATTAATTATAAATAAGTATCATAAATGTACTTTCAACTTATATGTTAGATAAAGAACAAAAAAATCATTTAAAAATTAATGATTAAATACTCAACTAATTA